GAAATTATTCGTGTGAAAAAAAAAAAAAAAAAAAAAAAAAAAAAAAAAAAAAAAACAGGTCGTCAGTCACGCACCTACCCACCTCTGGCACCTCCACGTTAAACCACAGGTCTCGTTGTCGGTCGTAGACGCGTACGTTATGCACGGGGACCTCGTAAAATTCTTCGTCGTCAGCGACCACCTCCCCCTCCCAAGCTCTCTCTTCAACATCATCGGTCAGCTCATCACTAACACTAGCACCGGCCGACGAAGACATGGCCGGTCGTCGACAGGACGCCACGTGTCGGCTTGTCTGCATCCAGAAGCCACGTGGTGCCGCCATAGCCAGAGCTGATACGGTCTGTCGAGTCCCTCTTCGAGCCCGTGAGACAGCAGCACCTTCCCCACTGCGCAAACTCAACAAAGAAGAGGAAGGAGAAGAAGAAGGAGAAGAAGAAGAAGAAGGATATGGAGGAAACGTAGCAGCAAGAGAAGGAGGAGAAAGAGGAGGAGGAGAAAGAGAAGGAGAAGAGGTCTCTCCTCCTCGACAACTCCGAGATGACAGCTCTGACGTGCAGAGCGAATTCGAAGATGGTGCGATTACGACAGACGCCGTCGCAGCCATCAGCAGCGAGCTAGCGCGGGCCATGGATACCAATCAAGATTGATTACTTGATTGCTTGATTGATTGATTAATGGACTGATTGATCGACTGATTAGAATAAAAGTAGATTAATGATCTGCCGAGATGATTACGATCTGAAGAACTAAGAGAGCTCGTACGTGAGAAGAAACGTCGACCGGGCAGTGAATCCGTGCGCAGCTCAGGGCGCACTCACACTACCGCAGTATCTCAAGTGTATGTATCTGACCGCACTCACGGCCATCCCTGGATGCATCTGGCCGCAATCCCGTTCAAAAGGAGGTAAATAATCCGTAGTGTGAGTATGCCCTCAGTCAGTAAAAGCAGCTCGTTGGGAGTCGGTCATCCGCTCTCTCCTGAGTGGGCAGCTTGCCTCGGTCGCCCGCTCAGTCCGTACGCAGCATGGCGGTCGTTGCTCCTCGGTCGGTCGGTGACTGTCTCGACCGGTCTTCGGCTCGTCAACCGATCAGTTTACGGTTCCGCCGATTGATCCCCCCTACCGCTAGCTGGCTACGATAGGTAGTCGCCAAACCGGTCGTCCGCTGGTCCGCTGGTCCGCTGGTCCGCTACTCCGCTGGTCGCCCGGTCGTTCGGTCGCTCCTTCGGTCGGCGGGCCCTTTCCCGCTCAAGCCAAAAAGCTTTTCAGACTTTCGTGTCCACGTAGGACGAACACGTCGGAAATGAAAATCCAAAGGCCCAACGAAAAATTGCGAGCTCGCTCCCCTATTGGCCCACGCAGAATAATAGGCTTCGCGTAGGCCCCCGCCCCCTCCCCCTCTGCTCTCTCACCCCCAACCCCCCCGGAGTAGCGAAGAAGCCCCCGACTTTGACGACGGCAGCCGGCGGAGGGGCGGAGGGCCGGAGGGGCGTGGACGGGGGAGGAAGAGCAGGGGGAGAGGAAATACAGTTACAATGACCGGGCGTTCTATTCGGGTGAAGACGGTAAGGGGTTAAACCCAAGAGCCCAGCTCAGTGGGTACACCAATGAACTGTTTTTTTTTTTTTTTTTTTTTTTTTTTTTTTTGACGGGGTGGAGCTTAGCCAATAGAAAGCCATGCTTGCACGAGGGGTCCCCTGTTTTCTTGTATTGCTCAACTCATGCTCTCCCTCTCCCTCATGGAGCCACCCTGAACACAGCTGCAATGTACTCCTCCGAACCTCTGCGGCTATGGCCGTCTTCTTCCTCCTCCCCAGCTATGGTAACCAGACATCTCCTTCCTCGCTGGGCACTTCCTCCTCCGCTAGCGCCCCCTCCCTTCCACGTCGCACTATCGCACAAGCAGCCCACAGCGTTTCCGCACTTCGCAGATGAACACTTGATCCCGTTGGCTGGTGCTGCTGAGCTTTTATATTTGTTGATCCGCCTTCCGGACATCTTCTGTTGGTTATGGGTCACACCTCTTGCCTTTGTTCCCTGCTTCTGGAAGCTCACAGACTTTCTTGGGTTGACTGCTTGCGTGAATCGACTGACACCTGGCCTAACGGCTCTGGTGATCCTCGCTGAAGTTGTGGAATCTTCTAGAGTAGTCGTGCACATTGTACAAGTGGCTGGAACCACTAATAAAACACGGAATGGGATTTGGGTATAGGACTTGGGACCTGGGACTGCGACCTGGAACTCTAGTACATCGTGAAATCCTTTCACTCCCGCAGGCCTAATTTCGAGGTCCTCCGAGAAAGATCCAATCTTTACCTGTCTATAATGCTAACTCCCTCCCTGGCACGCTCATAGTAAGACACAATATGAGGTGCAGTGTCCATCAATTCATCCCTAGTGTGCCAGCGGTCATCCTTTGGTTCCTGGTATGCGAACCTAACCTTTGTACTGTCGTTGTGGTCTACCTCTTTTGTAGACATCTTTCTCTAGGATACGATCAATACCGTACCTTCCATCCATATCAGGAGGGATCATCGATATGCGTGAAGGGAATTTGTCATTAGTGACGTAAGGCAGCAACTTGGATGCGCGAAACGCCAGGCATGTATGTAAGTGCATCGGAATATCAACGGTATAGGAGGGGCTGTTTGCGTCTCCTATGACGTCTAAGATCTCCCATGGCCCTCTATACGCAGGTAACAACTTATAAGAGATGTTTTCATTTGGAAGAAATTCCTTTGACTTGACACAAACAAGATCACCAATGCTTATTTGCATGTTCTACCATCTGATGTTGGGCTTTCTGGATATTCTCAACTACCTTATGGATCTCCTGCTACTAGTGGACAGCAAACTTTTTAGTGTCAAGTGGCAATCTATGAATCTGATCTGGATTTAGGCAGTCTACCGGCCGTTGTGGTCGCCACCCCTTGTGCAACTCATTCGGTGTCCGATTAGTTGCTAGATGCACAGCGTCATTGTAGGCACTTGCTACCTTAGGTAGAAGCTCATCCCAGTCTACCTGATCTGGCCTAATGTACATGCGACGCACGTGCTGTACCAATTTGTTCATTTGCTTTGTCCGTTCGTTAGTCTTGGGGTGTCAAATGACGACATAGTTAATCTAGACCCGTAGGCTTTCATCAGATGTTGTTAGTGCTCGTCGGTAAATCTAGTGTCTCTATCATTTACTATAGTCAATGAGTGCCCGTACTCTGCGACGTAATGATCGAAGAACTTCTGAATGACTAAGTTCGTTCTTATCGCAACGGGCAAGGGAACGAAAACAACAAACTTACTAAATCTATCAACTACGACTTGAGTCTTACAACTTCGACTCTTGACCTTAGTGTCCATAAAGTCTATAGAAACGAAATCTCATAGTCCCGATGGTATAGGAAGTCACCTCAACAACCCTAGGGGCGGTTGCGTGAAACTCTTGTTCCGCTGACAGACTTTGCAGTCGTAGATGTACAAGATACAATCTCTGTTTCATCCCAACCCACGTGTAGGACTTGAGGAGGTTAGCATATGTCTTCCTCCATCTAAACCCCTAGCATCAGACTGCAAATCTCTTCGCTATTCGACACGCACAATCTGTTTTCTCTATCAGTCATCTCAAACAACAACTCAATGAGCTGCAGTCTGCACCTTGTGAATAATCTCGCTATAAACTTTGTCTTTGACATAAGTATCTCTAATCTTCTGTTGTAGCTCGGCACATGCGTTTAGATAGGTGACTATAGCTCCAAAGAAGTTTGCTCGTCAACTGAGCGCGTTGACGACGACATTAGACTTGCCTTTGACATGCTTGAGTTCAAAGGCGAACTCGTTGATTTTAGAGCCCCATCTTGCCAGTTTAATGGACATTTGGGTTTGAGTCGTTAGTCTCATGGTCGGAATAGACCTTGCAGTGTCGTCCTAACAAATAGTGCCTCCAATGGGCTAGAGCCTCTCTCAAGGCGAATAGTTCTCGTTCATAGGTTGATGCAGCAACCTTCTCACACGACAGTATGCGACATGAACTCGATTGGCCTATATCCATTGCCGTCATTTTGTTGTGGCAGTGCGCCAATGTCGTATTGACTTGCGTTCGTAGTCACAATAAACGAGAGTGGCGGATTAGCTATTTTTAAGACAGGGTACTCTATTAGACATTTCTTTAATTTTTTGAAAGCGGATATGCAGTCTTTGTCCCACTTCCAGACAACCATCTTTCATAGCAGTTTGCATAGAGGTGCAGCGATTGTAGTGAAGTTGCGTACAAACTTCCTATAGTAATTGGCTAGACCAAGGAACGGCCGCAATTCAGTCAACGTGTGCGGAGTTGGCCAATCTTTAATTACTGCAATTTTCTTGTCCGGTCTAATGGCCTAGGTACAAGACTTGGCATTTCGCCCATTCTCATGTCTTGGGGTTCAATTTAAATTTAGCCTCATGAAGCTTGCTCAAAATCAGTCGAAGGTGCTCTTGATGCTCCTCAAGAGTCTTACTAAAATTTAATATATCGTTTAAATATACTACGACAAACTTATCTTTTTTTTTTATATATCGTTTAAATATACTACGACAAACTTATCTTTTTTTTTTTTTTTTTTTTTAAGCTCTTGTGCCATCCCTCTATCCCATCGGTGGTACGAGAACCGGCAGGATTGAGGGCTTGTCAATCTGGCAGCTCCATCTATTGGTGGGGAGCTACACCTGCTGAAAACCGGGTCCAACATCTAAATATACTACAACAAACTTATCTAACTATTCTCTAAACATATCATTCATGCATCTCTTGAATGTGGCAGGGGCATTGGGTCAACCCGAACGGCATGACCACAAACTCATAATGACCATATCTAGTCCTGAATGTCGTCTTGTGCTGATCTCTGGCCTGTACCTCTATATGATGGTACCTCGATTTCAAGTTTATCTTTGAAAAGTACTTGCATCTCTGCACCCTGCCTGACAAGTCATCTATACAAGGCAATGGCTCAACATTCTTGACAGTTATAGCATTTAGACCTCTCTAGTTGATGCATTCGCAAGTCGCCTTCCTTCTTAGGCACAAATAGGGCGAGTGTCCCTCATATAGGGTGAGGAACTTGGTTTAATCCACCCCTTTTCAATTAACTCATCTGTCTTTTAGTTCCTCTAACATTTTGGGAGACATCCTATAGATCGGGCCCTTAGGAGTCTTGCCACTGGGTTCAATCTTGATCCGGTGCTTGATCTCTCTCTCAACTATGTCAGTTGAGGCCTCTCCCACATTTGCGAAATCATTCCACAAATTTTAAACTTGGGGCGGTACTAACTCTTCCTCCTCCTCCTCCTCACTAACCGGTCTAACATATGGAACGACGACTTGGTCAGCAAGATCCTGCTTTACCACGTGCCTAGTGAATGCAGGGGCACTTATGCAACATAAGGAAAGGGCGGACTGGACCCCAGACTCATGAAAGAGCCAGACTTTCTTCTTCCTACCTTGAGGACTGGGCAACCAGCACTCATGCTTGCTCATCTTGACATCGACCTTTGCAGCCTCTCCCCAATCTGTGCCTAACAACATGTCGAAAGGTAGACTATCCTCCACTATAAAGGTTAGAGAATGCAACACCTTCTCACTCGTCTTATCCTCCCTCTCCAACTGGAAGTATGCCTTCATCCCCTTGACGAACTCCTCCACTCTCATCTTTCTATTACCTGCCAGTTTGCTCACCACCGACTCTTCCAACTTCTGCACTTTCATCCATAGATGCAGTTTCTTTAATCCTTTCCTACTAATGTAACTGCGCGTTGGTCCATAGTCTACTAACGCGCCTATCCTAGCTCGACTAGCTTCTGCATCTGCTAAAATTAAGTGTGGATTTGACCGTTTTTTTCATTTCGGTCCAGGCCTGGAGGCGAGTGATCAGTTCGTTGCCGAGGCCCGCAAGCGAACCACCTAGAGAGACCCTAACACAAGCAGCCTCTGGAAAGTCAACTACATGTGGCCCGACATCAACCTTTGCCATTGCGGTCCTCAGACAGGATGGACCTGCTTCAGCATGCGCTTCTACCTGTCTATCAAAGTCTGAGACGTAGCGGTAGTAAAATTGTTCCACTTACCTCGAAATTCGTCGAGCTGAACTGCTAAACGGTCAACGAAGGTGCGTAGTGCAACACTTTCTCGGGTGGCCTGGAGTGCAACTTCGGTCAACAACGTCATCTGGTTTTTGGCTTCCCCCCGCTCTTCCCCCTTTGCTTGCTTTTTCTGCTTAGCAGCTATGGCCGCCCCATAATTTAGCAACTTCTTTCTTGTTGTTGCTTCCCTCTTCCTAGATGCCCTACTGCGTGGCCTGTGTGCGAGCCTCCGTCTCAGCTATCTGCGCCTCCTCTCCCTCCAACACTTCCTAACTCCTTTTCGTAGTGGGCTGCTTCGCCCCGCAGCTCCTCCGGCGTTTGGTTCCCACGTACGTAGAATGCCATCGCCCAATCTTGCTCCTCCTCATGTCAACATTTTGGGCGGGGTTCGCTGGTCTGGCCAGGGTCCTTTTGGGGCACCGTCTTGAGTCCCCCTTTCTTCTTCTTCTCCATCTTCTCTTCCTTCTTTTCTTCTTCTTCTTCTTCTTCTTCTTCTTCTTCTTCAACTTCTCCACCTTCTTTAGCTTCTCTTCCAACGTCCTCTTCTCCTCCTCCAACCTTTGCTTCTCCTTTTCTTTTTCCTTCTCCTTCTTTGTTTTTTCTTTGTCCTCCTTCCTCTGCCTCCAGATCTCCTCCACCCTCTGTCCTTCCTCTGCGGTCAATGGCTGGATCACCGTTCCGGACTTGGTCGTCACGGCCATACTACACATCCGAAAGAAACCGAGAGGAAAGAAAAAATAGAGCAAGGCCCCCTAAAGCACAGAGAGGGCGAGAAGGGAGAACATCGGGTAGTCATCCATGGTGATTTCAAGGCACAGCAAAGGTAAGTTGACTCCGCCTCGTCACCACTTAGACCTTCTTTTTTTTTTTTTTTTTTTTTTTTTTTTTTTTTTTTTAAACAGGCCCAGTGCCCAGGGCTGATATTACCAATAAGAAGATTGAGGCCGGGGTCCTCACAGTCTACCTGGAGTGACCTATCCCTCAAAACTTACGACTTTGATGTGTTGGCTGCTTGCATGAATCAACTGACACATGGCGTAACTGCTCTCTGGTGATCCTGGCTGAAGTTGTGGTGCCTCTAAAAGCAGACTCTTCAACCCATAACTGTTATCTACCAGGGACTCGCTCCCACGATCTAGCAATCATGGTACAAACGAAAACTACACTTCTAGAGTATTCGTGCACATTGTACAACAAGTAGCGGGAACCACTAATAGAACATGGAATGGGATTTGGGTCTAGAACCTGGGGCTCAGGGCTGGGACCTGGGACATGGGACATGGGACTTTAGTACATCATGAAATCCTTTCACATTCATTAATTCTATAATAATAAAAATGCCATCAGGCTGAAGACATGGCACCAGGTCATGGGGGTTTCGATCCATGGGGAAAGAACGTTTTTTTTTTTTTTTTTTTTTTTT